CTGCCTGTACCATCAACTTCACACTTATTTCGTACAAGTTAAGGCATTGGTCTAATAATATCCTGAAGTATTTGTCGTTACGATTAAGCAGTTGGCGGTGACCGCGTCCTAAACTTTGCCAATTTCCGTGTTGTAGAGAAGCAAAAATCTGTCAAAATGGCCCCAAAACTTGAATGGGCTGTTGCCATGGCAACAATGGGTTTTGAGCGGAAAGAAAGCTATTTCAAGGGGTTGTGGGCGAAGTACTATCACTGCGCAAAATATGAGCAAAATCGATTTTTGACCCCGCTCACTATTGTATGATCATTACAGACATTTGCTCTTAAAAACATGTCCTACTTTTAGGGACAAGTATACAACAGCGGCACAAGACCCCAACCTCCACAAGCCCTTATTTGATACACAATACATATATGTACTCCTCTTAAAAGATTGAATTAAAATGGCATCCTACTTCGTCATTTCTAGACCTTTAAACATAGCCGTATATGCTCATTTCTGTACATGTCCAAAATATGGCCTACTTTTAGGGACAAGTGCACACCAACGACACAAGACCCCAACCTCCACAGGTATTCATTTGATACACAATACATATATGTACTTCCCTGCAAATGACATCCTACTTTGCTATTTCTAGAGTTTCAAACATAGCCGTATATGTCAATTTCTGTACATGTCCAAAATATGGCCTACTTTGAGGGACAATTGAACACCAACGACACAAGACCCCAACATCCACAAGTATTCATTTGATATACTATTTATATATGTACTTCCCCGCAAAGATTGGATTCAAATAGCATCTAACTTTTTTTCTTTCTAGCGCTTCAAACATAGCCGTATGTGTCAATTTCTGTACATGTCCAAAATATGGTCTACTTTTAGGGACAAGTGCACACCAACGACACAAGACCCCAACTTCCCCAAGTATTCATTTGATACACAATACATAAATGTACTTCCCTGTAAAGATTGAATTCAAATGACACCCTACTTTGTTATTTCTAGAGCTTCGAACATTCCCGTATATGTCAATTTCTGTAAATGTCCAAAACATGGCCTACTTTGAGGGACAAGTGCACACCAACGACACAAGACCCCAACCTCCACAAGTATTCATTTAATAGACAAGACATAGTGTTACTTTGGTCAAAAGACTTTATCAGATTGCTTTCTTTCTTTTGTAGATATAGTATCCTGAACATGGGTGAAAATCATATTTTCCCTCAAATTCAAAATTTGACCTACTTCTAAGGACAACCACGTGACAACCAAATAAGTGCCCAAAGTTTGCAACCATGCATTGTATAGCACATATGTTTATGTATCTATGATAATAAATTTGAAGCAAAAAAAATTACCATCTTTGGACTTACAGCACTTTGAAGTTGGGTAGAAATAACGCTTTTTCATAAGCCTCAAACACTGTATTGTGTTAGGGTTGCCCAGGTCCTTTAAACGAACTTCTTGAAAATCCCAAAGCTATTCTAGAATAGCGGATTAGTTGGTCTTTTATGCCCATACTTTGTTTTTCCATAATATTAAAGCACTTGCTCGTAATCGTGCCTTAAACTATGCCAAATTTCATGTTTTTCACATGTCTAAATCAGGGAAAATGGCCCCGAAACTTGTTTGGCCCGTTACCATGGCAACGATCGGTGCTGACCGGAAAGAAAGCTATTTTGAGGGGTTGTGGGCCAAGTACTATCACTGTACAAAGTTTGAGCCAAATCGATTTTTTGACCCCTGCCACCATTGTTTGATCCTTACAGACATTCGCTCTTAATGACTCAAAGACGTTACAAAGTATAAATTTAGTAAGAAACCATGGGTGCATTTCTAAATCCCAGCATGCCGTATGACTCAAAAGACTTTACTTGGTACAAGTAAGTAACCCTTGCTTAATTTCAAGGCTCGACAACTTACATGACCTTGGACTTTTTAGTATGCACAAGTAGGTAGCCATGTGTGCATTTTCAGACTCAGGCCTCTCATATAACTGATGAGATTTAAAAAAAGCAAGTAAGTAACTGTAGATGGATTGTAAAGGTCCATGCCCACCTCACACTTTTCACACTTTTGTTTCTTTTTGGTAGGTCACAATTATAAAATTGTAATAATGTACCAGTACACTCTATTCTTTGTACCATGTATATCTGTAATGCAATGAAGTTATCATTATTTCTAAAATCATACCTTCCATATGTCTAGAGATACCTTACTCTCAGTAATTCTAAGTAAAAGTTACATGTAGTGATAACAGGTGTATTTGTATGCCCAGGTCTCCCATGGGACTAATGATACATCAAGTACTAGTAGAAGTGGAGTTGTACAGTCAAAAATTATGGTAAATCTATTTATTGACATAACAGATTAAAATTGTTTCAGAACCGTTTAGGTTCTGAGAAATTATACAACAATTCTAGTTCTAAGATAACTTTTAATGAATGAACGAGTCTATATGTCATCTGAAGATCCGTCTTGCCCTTTACGTTTGGGGTAGGAGGGTTTTTTTTTGCCTTGGAGGGACCGGAGGGGGGGGGGGGTCATTTGACCCCCCTCCCCCCTCAGAACTCGAGAACGGTATGTCGCATGACCACCAAATTTTCAGAGGATGGTGTACTAGTAAAAATTTATGGCCAAGCGATTTAAAGTTTTTTTTCTTCTTGCAACTAAATAAATATTCACAGTCACACTGCCCTCTTTTGGTATCTCTGAAAGCCGTCTGTTTAGTCTGTGGGAAAATAGATTGATCTATTAGGATTAAAACAATACAAACGGGTAGCATTAGTAAAATATGGCTTAACATAGTTTATTACTCATTTACAAATTACAATGTAATGGATACCTAGATCATTATATTTATAACTTTAAGTGTCCTAACATAGCCCGTTTTTAGCACGTACGCTCGAACTCATGGATCGTCATCACAAATTGTAAGAGTGGTCAGATTTTGATGAATAAGTTTTAAAAAAATGAAATGAACTAACTATCTATATCTATTTATCTATCTGATATATAGATAGATAGATAGATAGATAGATAGATAGATAGATAGATAGATAGATAGATAGATAGATAGATAGATAATATCTTCAACTCAATCGCAGTACTATACCAACTGCTCCGCCCCTGAGGCGTCGCCAAAAATGCTGAACATTCTAATGACATCATGTGCCTACCTCTGATACAGCTGTATGATACCTCCAAGTACTTCCCCACACCCTTACAGGGGTCACCGAAAACGTAATTGCTCGCTGTCACCCTGCACTGCTGATTGCCCTGACAGGCGGCCCTCACGACAGCCAGGCTCTTGTAATTGTGTGTGCGGCATTTGGTGGGAAAGTTAGAGCAGGGATGTGTGGCGGACGTGCGGCCGTAGTTGGCGTCCACGATCAAAAGCTTCTCTCCGTCCGAGCAAGACAGCTGTAGGGTGCTCCACTCACAGGCAAAGGCAGTTTCTGTGTCAGCATCTGTGTATCACATGTTGGCAGTTATATTAGAAGGAATCGTTGAACATGTGCACGTGTATGTTGTTGTGATTTTGACTTTATTTGGACCATTCAGCTTAATAGCTTTTCTACCAGTGGTCACACACACACACACACACACACACACACACACACACAAATACCTGTATTGTTTCTTAAATAATCTAAGAGGAATACTATTTTGACATGTCTTAATGTAAAGAACAAACACACAAACACACAGACAGACATACGAACGCCCCTGAAAACATAACCTTCTGGCGAAGGTAATAACCTCCATGACATGTCATCATGGAGGCAATAAAAGAACGTGCATCATCTGCAGCCTAATAGCAAAACGTATACCGAGTCCAAAAAAAATCCGTCCACCCCACCGCGGGAAACAGCTGCGAACATGAAAACCACGACCTAATTGACCATGCCTTCGTACCAAATGTAACGTTATTTATTAAAGGTGTACCAAGCAATAATGACGCAAGAGAAGATCCACATCCCCACATCTACATAATTTTCAATGATATAGAGTCCATTCCGCGTCACCGTGTGGGTTTTTTCTCCATGTTTCTAATACGTTTGAATTATTTAGAAGAAAAGAATACCCCAGTAACAAAAGTTCTAAATTTTTCTAAAATTTGAAAATGAAAATTTGAATATATTTGAATTCATTTATATATTTCTGAAACAGTTTGAAAGTGACTGTACAAAGATCTCTTTATTTAGAATAAATTTGAACTACCCATGTGTTTCTTTCACTATTCGAAATATTTAGAAATATTTCAAACAAATAACCAAATGGTAGATGAGGGTAATTGCCCCCATAAAAGTAGGTGCTAATCCTACTCTTTTGTATTCTTCTGTATATTTTTAGATTTCACTGCTGGACACTGGTGGCTCTTTTGTTGTAAGGCATCAATGCCTGACACTCAGGCAGTCTGCCCTGTACTTCACAGGGATGTCTGAATTACTTCCTTCCCATCCCAGTGACCTATTTACAAAATGTTAGAAATAATTCGAAATAATGGTAAAAAATGGTAGAGTGCTGTTAGAAATATTTAGAAACTATTGGAAATGTCATAATCCACATCAGGAATATTTCGAACGTGTTAGAAAACCAGGGAATTATTTAGAATATTGACAAGATGTTCAAATTATTTCCAAATTATGAAATTTCCTAGACAAACAATTACAAAGAATTCAAAACATTTCTAAATAATGGCAATAACAACCCACACGGTGACGCGGAATTGACTCTACCCACTGACCTTCACACCGGGTGCCATCTTCACTAAGAGATTGTCCAGCAGGGCAGGAGCACAGCACGTTGTTTCCGGGCGTGTCGATGTAGATGACCATCCGATCGGCCGTTACAATATCACCCCCTGAATAAAGTAAAGTAATGGAACTATTTTGAGGAGTCAGACAAGAAATCTTGGCTCATGCTCTTTTAGTTGTTTTAACGTATTCATAGCAGCAGGTATAGACAGCTGAAAAATAACGATTCTCCACATATTTTGGTCCGTAACAGAATCATTTCATTTCATTAGGCTGCTGTTGACCCTAACTCAAAACACAAAATTATCAGATAAGAAAAGTCAACTTAGACATGGCCCATCCGCACAGGGAGATATATAAGGGTAATTGATTAGTACTGCACGCACCGTTGTAGTTAGCGTAGCCTGTAGATTTAGAAAAGCGGATGTAAGGCAGCTGATCTTTCGGAGCTTGCTCCCATTCGCATATTCCGAGTGGACCACCGTCGGCCACCGCAAGCCAACCAGCGTCTTTGGAGCAACCACCCCAGTTGCGATTGATGTGAAAAGACCTGCAAGAAAGAAAGCCGTGTTTTGATTAATACAAAATTAATTCCATGGACGTCATAAAGATTCACTACGAAGCAGGTAATTCAATGTAAAGGATAGATAGGCCTTGATACGACGTTTATTTACATTTCAAAGGCTGAAGATTTACCTTTTCGCATATAGGGTTCCTCTGATCGAGAAGAAGTTTTGAGGCTCGGTGCTGATGTCGTTCCAAGGAGATGAGAGCAGACGAGGCTTGGAGAACCAGTTGAACTTGTCAGTGTTTCTCCCATCAAAAATCAGCTCTACATTTCCTTCGGAGGACTCCAACACAACCTTCACCTGCAAAAGACGACAATTTTACTTCCTGTGCCGCTCCAAAAGAATCGCCCCTCATTCATTGCAGTTCTATTTTTTTATAACAGATTTAGCGACTTAAATACAATTCTGTTTGTCCAAAATTCTTAGAATCTAATAATCATAAATGGTTGTGTTACGCGTAAGTTATGATACACCTGATATCGCTGATGACGGAAAGCTATGGACATGTGACAAAACAAAACACAGTAATAACCACATGGTTTTCTAGCAGAAACATACCCGTTGGATGTTAAGCGATTCCCATCGATCTACAACTGGGCACTTGTTGTGGCTGACTTGTCCATTAGTTCTCCAGGCGTCATAAACAGTCTGCCCTGTTCCTTTCATAGTTGAAAAAACGTCTAGCCATTGAGGATTGGCTGTAAAGATTGGATAGGTACGAAATATGAAAAGTTAGCCCCCAAAAGTAAAATTGGCCATATCTATCTATCTATCTATCCATCTCTCACTCTCTCTCTCTCTCTCTCTGTGTATATATATATATAGTGTCAGTGCAGAACGCAGTATTTATGGGAAACCCCCGGGTCTATGACGCGGGTATAGAAACTAGTGCAGACAAACCTCTTGCATCCTAGCTAGAGCGACTCATGTGAGAGGTAGCCATGAATGAACTGCGCTGTGTCGTATAGAAAGGTATCGGCTTGTACACAGTATGAGTTGGATTGTGAAGATTTCACTGTTCGTGTATAAAATGCGCGGTATTATGCAACCGCGTTCCGGGGTGAGCCGGCTACAGTTCCGCTGACCCCGGTAGAGGGCCAAATCAAAGTGGTCGTCATTATGTTTAAAACATTTTTAGTTTAATTTCTTTTTTTTTTTTGGTTTTCAGTTATCTTGTAGAATATACCGTATATTTCAACACATTAGTTGGGCGTGATTCTCTAGTGCACCCTACTATAATTTTTACCGCGTCGAAGTGAGTCAACTCGGGTTGCTTAACTATAGGAATCCCCATAGGGCGAGAAACTGTGTTCGGCCACCTTGACATTCAGGTCTCCATAATCCTATGTATTTCACCCAAAACTGCATTTTCCCCTAAATTTTACCTCCCCCATATGACAGTATTACGTTTCCAACCTGTCACAATCTTTGCCCGCATGGAGATGTGCACATGCCATGTTTGCGGATGGATTTTGACGAAGCGCGCAGTTATTCGGCCACTAAAGTCTCTGAAGTCGTTGTTGACCGCCGTGTCTCTGTCGTCATTCGCCGGAAAAACCTGCAGCATATAAAGTCATTGCTTTTATGCCAAGAAGATCAAGGCCTATTTGGAGATATATAAGTTTATTGCACGACAAATATACTGGCAAAGGAAACAAACCAATGAACATAGAAAAAGTTAGATGATAACCTATCTTTCTTATTACTAAATCAACACGGGCAAGCATAAGTCTGAGATATAGTGTTACAATCAATATAATCGAGGCTCATCATGATATAAATATATATTGAAATGTATTTGTAGCATCGATTCTCTTGAAATCTGTTGTTATAGAATAAAGAAATGTAAATAGCTGGCGCAAAACATCATATCTAGAGCATTTAATGACAAAGTGAATTTAATATCTAATTTGCTTTGGACAAAAAGGGAAAAGTCATGCTCTACATTATAGTATGTGTATGTTACCATTTTCAATTTAGGAATACGATTTTAGCATGCAAAGATCTTAGTAGATAGCTATCCAACTAAAGAGAGGAATGATTCTTACAGTAACTTTCCCATCAGCATCGGTATAGAACGTCTCATCACCGTTTTCATTGCCGTACGAAATGATGTAGGATGTGACGTATTGGTCATATTTGCCGGAGTTCCTGCCTTTGGTGATGACGCCGGTGATGTCGGTAACGTCACCAAGGTCCCTCATCAGCCATTGGTCCTTGTTATTGGTTGCTGCTGACCATCCCCCTTGTGCATCTGCAGTCTCGCGAGTGTTGATATCTGCACGATCAGCTGAGTGACGTGAATCGAACTCCGAGGATGCTGACCAAGATGGAGGTTCTAAAACCAAGAAAAACGAGACGTTTTTTAACGAAATATGAAGCCAGAGCTATATTTAATTTGACTATCAGCTTTATATATTACGTACATATTTTAGGCTGGTTTATTCAGCAAAGAAAAACATAGAAACACTAACAAGCTTCCTGGCAGCCGCGATAGCTGAGTTGCAAAGCTTGTTTTGACAAAACATTTCGACAAAATATATACATTTATCAATTTCAAAAGGTAGAGTTACATTTAAAACAGCGATTAAAATATGTATGGCGTATTCAGTCAGGTGACCCTCCCCGTAGCAACTGGCCGGGCTGCAACGAGCAGGCTGCCGCCATGTTGAGGTACACATGGAGGCCGTTCCACAGTGGAGTTCTTTACAGCTCTCCGTAAACTTGGCAAATATTTTCTAAATCACCAACTATTTCCTTCCAAACATTTTGCTTCATAATCAATGTGTTTGCCTCGTGGTCGTATGTTGGCCGGGGACCGATAAAGCGCACATAGTCATAGATCGGTTAATCTTATGATTGATTAGTAGTACATGTTTGTAAGCCCTCACGAAAACAAGTTAAAATAGAGTTCCACGATCTCATACCTTCGCCAAATGATGTAAGCTTTTATGAATAAGAACTTATATACAATGTATTAATCCCCCTGATTATGCAAATAGGATCCGCAATTGCATGAATTATATCTGTTGATCATAATCTCCACCAACAGTCTTATTTTAACAAAGAATGTCATTATAGCATTTCCTCATATATTATGCAAATGAGGTCCTTATTTGAATAAGTTATGTTAAATTATGTTCACCTTCACTAAACTTCAAACACCCCAAGTATAAAATTCCAGGCAGTTACCACTATGCAATTATAACATTTTCTCATTAATTATGCAAATTAAGTCTTCATTTGCATAATCGATATCTGCCTGTGTTTCTTTCGTTGTTAATAACATATGTCGCAAGCTTGAACTTCCTATCATGGAATGCAGCTGATTAATAGAATTTCCTCATTAATTATGCAAATTACATCCATATTTGCATAATTGTAATATCATTATGTCAAGCATTACTCAAGCTACCTACATACCAAAAATCATGATGATCCATCAATCGGTTCTTGAGTTATCCTCCTTTAACCCTCAACAGTACACCTTCCCGGACTGATTAATCTGTACACCTGGGGTCCGCGCGGACCCCAGAACAGTTTTTTGCTAATTTTTAAAAATCATCAACATGCTGCCAGCTCAAATGTTTTGCAAACTGATGTGGGAACCTCTGTGTCCACATTACAAACAAATATCATACATTTTGAACTTTTTCTATTTTTTGGTGAAGAAAAGAAGACAAGAAGAAATACCCGATTTTTAAACCCATTTTACACTGAAGGGGCTTTTGAGGCCCAACTTTGATCTCAGATAGCGGCTAAACGGCTTGCGCTAGATGTATCAAATTTGGAGACCTTTCCTAAAATGTCTCTGGAAAAAGTTCATGTTAGTTTAATACTAGTAAGTTGATGTTTTTGTGTTGCCATGGCAACGGGTTTCTAGCAGGCAGTTTTTTTTGAAAATAGAAGTAATTTTGGTTTAAACATAAAAATTGTTTGAGTTTTGTATTAAATTACACTTCTTTTCCAACATTAATAACATCTTACATAATTAAATATAAGTTAAATCATTTAATATGCATAGAATATGCTAATTTGATGACGTCATTGGTCAAAATCCAATATGGCGGACTATATTATTAGCTCTGACGTCATATGATGTCATAATTACACCAAAGTTATTAAAATTTAATTCTATTACTACACCATTCTCTGAAAACTTGGTAGACATACGATGAGTGCATAAAAACATGTAAAAACGGAAATAAGGTAATGTATAAGAACGCCAGTGTATCCATTATAATCGAAAGCCGGCTGGGGTCCGCGCGGACCCCAAAAGAAAATCAAATATAATTTTTTCAATAAATGGTAGAAACGGAGTTTTCTGCACTTTATTGAGAGACAACTTAGTGGGTGACAATTACCTAAAATTTCAGAAAAAAATCTTTAAAAACAAAAAAGATATTACAGAATATATAGTGCTGGGGTCCGCTCGGACCCCAGGTGTACTGTTTAGGGTTAAACATTTGTCCTTTAACCCCCCCTGCAGTTCCAGAGCAAGCTGCTAGGGGGCCCAAACTCACGTCACTTCTTTCCCAGCACTAGAGCTACCTGTCATTCAAATTTCGTCACCCTAGCTTGTCTGGATCATGAGATATCAAAACCGGAAGTTCAGCTGCAGTACCATGACAAGCCGCCAGGGGGCCCAAAATCTAATCAGTTCGAGCTCTCATCAAGACCTACCCACCTACCAAATATCAAGATAATCCATCTAAGCTTTCTCGAGTTATGCTGTTGACACACAGACACACAGACAGACACACGGACACGAAAACATAACCTTCTCCAATTCTTGGCGAAGGTAACTAGAAAGGCCGACATTTGCTCAGGAGCAAATGCAGCATGGCCACACCCCAAAACAAATAAGGGTAAAACACTCTCAAACCTAGAATCTCTGCAGCTGAACTGCGTAAAGTTTTCCTTTGTTATTTGTTCTCTGTCATGTAGGATTCAGTAAACTAGAGAAGATAGAGGACTTAGCTATAGACATTGCAAAGTTCACACAGACGTTACGGCGTCTCAGGTACAAGAGAGTAAGTGGTAATTGCTCTATTGCTCTGTCATTACTATTGCATAGTTTATGCCTACATATAGGATCATCCTACACGCACTATTGTGTACAGCTTCTATATAATTATGTACTTCAATTGTAGAGTTACCTGGTATTGCCGTTGTTTCAGCCGGGGCCATGATGGCGGTCAGGCCCTGCTGTTTTGTCGGGGTGTCTGATGTTCGAGCGCTCGGCTGTTGTGTGAGAACGTGGCGGTCAGTAGTTGCGGTGGTGGCTGTTGTCGTGCTGCCGGTCATGACTTTGGTTTTCCGGGGCCACGTGGGAGGGTTTGTCCCGGTGAAATCTGCCGCAGGGCCCAACAAATGTGTCCGAGGCATCACTGGAGATCGATGAAAAAAAAGAGTCTGCGTGAACGAAACTGAGACAAATAATCACATGGCTATATTACAAAGAGTCGACGAGCATTGGATAATCCAGTGCCAATTTGATACTGTCTTTTGCCACCCTAGGGTACGCTTGGAGATAAATACCTAAAGCTACGTTTCTTCTATTCGTTCTGTTTGACAAGTCATGTGCAAAACACGGTGGCCCGGTGTCCAGTCTACTACGGAATAAGAGTATTCCATTTTGCTCATATTGTGATTTTGTAATAGTTTATTTTTTTATTTTGGGGTTAAGATATTCATTGTGATGTCATCTGAACTCAAATTTTCTGCCATTGAATGCCAAAATACTAACTTTAGAGCATTGGTTATTTTTCTAGCATGACTTTATGCGTAGTTCAATGCATTGAAGTGACACGAATGAACAGGGGGCAGAACATTTGAAATTTGACCAAATTTGACATTCAGGTCTTCATATTCCTAGGGGCGTATTTCCCCCAAAACTGCATTTTTCCCAAAATTTTACCTCCCCATATTACAGTATTAAGTTTCCAACCTGTCACAATCTTCGCCCGCATGGAGATATGCCCATGCCATGTTTGCGGATGGATTTTGATGAAGCGCGCAGTTATGCGGCCACTGAAGTCGTTGTAGACAGCCGTGTCTCTGTCGCCATTCGCCGGAAAAACCTGAAGCATATAAAGACATTGCCTATATGCAAAGACGATCAAGCCCTATTTGGAAACAGCCATATCCACACTTTGAGAATTCAGGTTTATTGCATGACAAAATATACTGGCAAAGGAAACAAGCCAATGAACATAGAAAAAAGTTAAATGATAACATATCTTCCTTATTACTAAAACAACAAGGGTTAGCAAGTCTGTGATATAGTTTTAAAATCAATGTAATTGAGGCTAATCATGATATAAAGATATATTAAAACGTATTTGTAGCATCGTATCTCTTGAAATCTGTTGTTATAGAATAAAGAAATGTAAATAGCTGACGAAAAACATCATATCTAGAGCATTCCATGACAAAATGAAATTAATATTCAATTTGCTTTGAACAAAATGGGCAAAGTCATGGGCTACATTATAGTATTTGCCTGTTTCCATATTCAATTTAGGAATGCGATTTTAACATGCAAAGATCTTAGTGGATAGCTATTCAACTAAAAGGAGGAATGATTCTTACAGTAACTTTCCCATCAGCATCGGTGTAGAACGTCTCAACACTGGTTTCATTGCCGTATGAAATGATGTAGGATGTGACGTATTGATCATGTATGCCCCGTGGCCAATCAGGGCTGTAGTTCCTGCCTTTGGTGATGACGCCGGTGATGTCGCTCACGTCGCTAAGGTCCCTCATCAGCCATTGGTTCTTGTCATTGGTTGCTGCTGCCCATCCGCCTGCTGCATCTGCAGTCTCGCGAGTGTTGATATCTGCACGATCAGCTGAGTGACGTGAATCGTCGAACTCCGAGGATGCTGACCAAGATGGAGGTTCTAAAACAAAGAAAAACGAGACGTTTGTTAACGAAATATGAAGCCAGAGCTATATTTAATTTGACTATCAGCTTTATATATTACGTACATATTTTAGGCTGGTTTATTCAGCAAAGAAAAACATAGAAACACTAACAAGCTTCCTGGCAGCCGCGATAGCTGAGTTGCAAAGCTTGTTTTGACAAAACATTTCGACAAAATATATACATTTATCAATTTCAAAAGGTAAAGTTACATTTAAAACAGCGATTAAAATATGTATGGCGTATTCAGTCAGGTGACCATCCCCGTAGCAACTGGCCGGGCTGCAACGAGCAGGCTGCCGCCATGTTGAGGTACACATGGAGGCCGTTCCACAGTGGAGTTCTTTACAGCTCTCCGTAAACTTGGCAAATATTTTCTAAATCACCAACTATTTTCCTTCCAAACATTTTGCTTCATAATCAATGTGTTTGCCTCGTGGTCGTATGTTGGCCGGGGACCGATAAAGCGCACATAGTCATAGATCGGTTAATCTTATAATTGATTAATAGTACATGTTTGTAAGCCCTAACGAAAACAAGTTAAACTAGAAAGGCCGACATTTGCTCAGGAGCAAATGCAGCATGGCCACACCCCAAAACAAATAAGGGTAAAACACTCTTAAACCTAGAATCTCTGCAGCTGAACTGCGTAAAGTTTTCCTTTGTTATTTGTTCTCTGTCATGTAGGATTCAGTAAACTAGAGAAGATAGAGGACTTAGCTATAGACATTGCAAAGTTTACACAGACGTTACGGCGTCTCAGGTACAAGAGAGTAAGTGGTAATTGCTCTATTGCTCTGTCATTACTATTGCATAGTTTATGCCTACATATAGGATCATCCTACACGCACTATTGTGTACAGCTTCTATATAATTATGTACTTCAATTGTAGAGTTACCTGGTATTGCCGTTGTTTCAGCCGGGGCCATGATGGCGGTCAGGCCCTGCTGTTTTGTCGGGGTGTCTGATGTTCGAGCGCTCGGCTGTTGTGTGAGAACGTGGCGGTCAGTAGTTGCGGTGGTGGCTGTTGTCGTGCTGCTGGTCATGACTTTGGTTTTCCGGGGCCACGTGGGAGGGTTTGTCCCGGTGAAATCTGCCGCAGGGCCCAACAAATGTTTCCGAGGCATCACTGGAGATCGATGAAAAAAAAAGAGCCTGAGTGAACGAAACTAAGACAAAGAATCGCATGGCTATATTACAAAGAGTCGACGAGCATTGGATAATCCAGTGTGGAACTCGTTATTTTAGGTACTTCGAGGCTAACTATCCAGTGCTAAACGACCTCCGCAGACTGCTGAGTCAAGATCAGCACAGGCGAGGGAGGTCAGGAAAAGGAGTGCTGAGACAAGATTTCGTTCTCTATTTTCGTCATTTGTTCTTATTTTCCGTAATTCGTTGAGTCAGCTATGAATTAGCTGCTGACATTTGAGTTTTTGGACGCGCAGAGAGGTCGCCGTAGAGCTTTTTTCGTAGAGTTTGGCGCTCTCTTCGCGCTATGGCCAATTTCCTGAAAAACATGATTGGCATTTCCGTAAATAATTTCATCAAGTTGGAAGATACTTAGGGTATAGAATTTTCTTACACAACCATAGAGTTTTTCACCTGCTACAAGCAGGTGAGAAAAGGGGATACAAGGGGATACAAGCTCAGCCACGTTTGGGATAGCATTCTCGCCGCAAAAGCGCCACCTACATTGGCGTTAAATAGCGGCGAGTTGCAGAACTCCAGTCAGAAGCTCTGGGGAAGGTGTCTGATAGACATCGAAACGTAAGCAGGTGAGAAACTCTATGGTTGTGTAAGAAGAAAATTCTATCCTATTATTGGCATTTGTGGTAGTATAGCCTTTTATTGAATTAAGAAAATCTGGGCTCTGATTGGCTTGAACCAAATAAGGACAGATCATGAATATTTAGGAAAAGGATCTAACTGCTGCCGGGAAAGCAGAGGTGCTCCCGGCCGTAAGGTTTTTTACGTAAGCCGCGAGAGAATGTATACCTCCCCGCCTGTACTTCATCATTTTCTTATCAGAACTGCCTGGCATTATTTAATTTAATTAGATGGTTAAATCGCTACGTTTTTCTTGCTGGCTTAGGAATATATCTTACCAACGGTTGGTAGAAATGTGAACGTTGCTGTCAGTAAGGCCCCAGCAGTGTGGCTGGTGTTATTAAATGGTTCCGTTGAGGAAGAAGGTGTAGCCGAGTAGACGAGAGATTGGCGATTCTCCTTGTAGGATGTTTTTTTTTAATTTGTACATGCATATAAGAACAATGCAGAAAGTAAATATAATACGAATGGAACAGAATTTCAAACTAATAATCTATACAAAATGGATATGATGAAGGCGGAAAAAAGCCTTGAAGTAAGGCTTATTCGTGTTTCCTTCCATTACAATTAAGAGCATAATCAATTTAAAAAAAGAAAACGATAAGTAAGCTCATTTCCCACAAAAAAATAAATGGTAATATTACAAACGTAAAGAAATATTAAACGATCAGATTTGACGAAATAGGTATAACTGCAGCAGCGTAAGGCATTTGAAAATACAAAGGAAAACAGATTTTCTTCAAGAAATAATGAAGACAATAAAGTGTTACTGAAATTTTCCTTCAACTCATGTAAAGACATATGTCTTGTACATAAAATATAATGTTACAATATAAGTTGTTGATTTACCTTACTTCCAGGTACGGGACTAGGTGCAATAATCGCAAGGGTGACACGATATGACACGAATGCCAGTAGCACAATTAGTCCAAAGCCCAATGCACAGTAAATAACTTTTTTAAGCTTCACCATATCCCGCTTACCGATGTCACCGTCTAGAGTTAAAGATGAAACAAGTAATAAAAAGCGGTTAGGTATAAAAAAAATGCTTGGACCACTTTGGAGAAACACTTCTATCCATGCAAATACCAAGATAAGGATATACAAAAGCAATGTCCAAAGTGTTGTACTATATGCGGCAGAATGTTGGAAAATCACAGCCACTATTAGGCACAAATTAGAGGTTTTCCAGAACAAATTCCTAAGACGCATATTAAGTATATCCCGGCTAAACACTATCTCAAACGAGGACCTTTTCAATAGAACAGGAAGGGTGACTCTGGAGAATCAAATCAAACTTTATTCATCAACTTGGCAGTCCTTAGACTGAATTGCGTTGATTGCACAATTTTGCCAATGATAAAAAACACATTACTATTAAAAAGCAACAATTCATCAGTTAAAAGATATTATATAATCGATTAATTAAAATATGGTAATTATAGTAAAAGTACATGAATGACGTAATGGACAAACAGTGATAAAGGTACGTAATATGTATAAATGTAATTTGGACGACAAAAGTATGGTCCTTAGCCTAGGTTTTGGCGGTCTTTGATGACCCTCGGAACAAAAGAGATTTTGTGTCTTTCAGTCCGGCTGATTGGGAGTTTGTACTGCGATCTGCGTCTCAGTTCATAACGCGGTTCCTCAGTCGGGTGAATGAAGGCATGACAGGGGTGTGAGGGATCTTTCAAGATCCTTTTGAGTTCTCGAATGGACGCTTCCCTTCGCCTTGACTCAAGGGTTGGCAGTTGTTCTGGGGGTAGGCCGAGCTATACATTTTTATTCGTGCATACTTTAGTAATTGTACAAGCTGCTTAATTCAGCCTCTCGGTCGCAAAAAAGCTTCCAACTTGCTGTATTATGCATTATGTACGTCTTTGCAAATAAACCAGTCATATCAAACAAATAAAACAGTCCAATCCCATTCTTAACCAGTAGAAGAATCCTTTAATCATTTATGTATTTAATTTTACTTGTGACTAAGATGTATGTGACTGTGACCAGAATACCGTTACTGATTTTACTGCCTTACGTTTTATTACCATAGATTTTAACTAATTGTATACGATGATAATGGTTTTAGAGAATAATACTGAGCAAGTGTTTTTATCTTTCTATGTACATGTACGAACACACAATTCAGCCCCGTGGGCTGCCAGTTGTTCAGTTGAAATAAACCAAATCAATATAACGTGGACGTGCGTAAAAAGCTGGTTTATCTTTTCCATTCACTAAACATCCCCTCTTGTAAATTTTCGTTACTGTTTTGTTTTCATATAAAAATGCTATGATGCACATTAGCTGTATAGTTTATCATGCTGATGCAACAATTTGGATCTCTGCTATCCTAATTTTTGCAATAAAATCAAGGAAACAAAGGCCGCCGGCCTGCCCCGCAAATATAAAGGCCGCCATGATGGATTTTCCAAGACCAAGCGTTGAGGTGGCAGAACACAGTTTTCGGTCTATGGGGATTCCTATAGTTAAGCACCCCGAGGTGACTTACTTCGACGCGGTAAAGATTATAGTAGGGTGCACTAGAGAATCACGGCTAACTAGTATGTTGAAATATATGGTATATTCTGCAAAATAACTGAAAACCAAAAAAAGTTATGGTCTTTTAACATAACGACGACCACTTTGATTTGGCCCTCTACCGGGATCAGTGAAACTGCAGCCGGCTCACCCCGGAACGCGGTTGCGTAATGCCGCGCATTTATACATGAACAGGGAAATCTTCACAATCCAACTCATACGGTGTACAAGCCGATACCTTTCTATACCACACAGCGCAGTTCATTCATGGCTACCTCTCACATAAGTCGCTCTAGCCAGGATGCAAGAGTTTTGTCTGCACTACTTTCTATACCCGCGTCATAGATACTGTGATCTGCGGCCTTAATACGCTTAGCGGTAGATTTTGCATATAAATAAACAGTTCGTCATTATAAACATGGTGCTAAGTAAACCATGTTATAAACCTGCATTTCTCCCCTGACGAAAGGTGGTGGATGCTACTTGAAACGTCTGACCGTTTCTAAAATCATATCCAATTGCTTGAGTAACTGCTTTTTGGTGTAACCAGTATTTTTTTTTAATCGTTTATTTCAAATTTTACATACAGATGTACGTTCAAATACATGGCTTACCCCTCGTTACATCACTAATTCTAAATGTTGGCGCACAGTTTGAAATCTAACAGGTTCGTTTTGTACAACATTTTTAAAGATGTAATATTTACATAACAACATGGATTTGTTTAGAAGAAAATCTGACTTGTGTCCATAAAGGATATCTTTTTCCTCTAAAGATATTGGTGACTGAGTTTTGGCATTCCACCACTCTTTCCAAAAAGGTTTAACAGATATACAAGTTACAAATACCAGTATTTTTTATAGGTTTTGGACAAGCCACCATCACCAGGCACAGTTTTTAAAAATGGCTTTTTTGTTAACTTTGGTAACGTTTTTAATCTTTGTTTTGTACATATATCTGCCAGAAAGAAAATACGTGCCATAAAGAAGTCACGTGACAAGAAAACTCCAAGACGGGATCTTAATCGGGGTGAAAAAGATACAGTCTGAGAGTACGTCGTCTTGAAAGCTCCCCAGCGTAGCTGAACTTTTGTTGTGTGTTTATGTATAAATATTTTGTCAAAAGAAAATACCTGGTATGGTGGCGTACGTAACGTCGGGTGTGTTTGCATCGTCGTCCGTACGTGCCTGGTAATCAGTCTGGGGTTGGTTCACGGATGTTGCCCCTGTACAAAATCAAAAGACGTAAAATAATATAATAAAAATAAATAATGCAGTCGTCTGTTGAAAAGTTGGTTCGCCTGGTAGGCTCGACGCACACTATGCAAGAGGAGTAAGTGAGTGAGTGAGTGAGTGAGTGAGTGAGTGAGCGAGCGAGCGAGCGAGCGAGCGAGCGAGCGAGTGCGTGAGTGAGTGAGTGCGTGAGTGAGTGAGTGAGCGAGCGAGCGAGCGAGCGAGCGAGTGCGTGAGTGAGTGCGTGAGTGCGTGAGTGAGTGAGTGAGTGAGTGAGTAAGTGAGTTAAAAAGTTTGGATGTTAAACACAAGTTACAAGATCAGGAAAAGGATAGAGACAAAAATAATTTACCTGCATAAGAGGCGTACAGAGGGTTGTGTATTTTTGCAGCAGCGTCAGCACGTGCCCTCCAACTAGGCCCCGGCATGGGTTTTGTGTCTTGGAA